GCTGAGCCTCACAGATCTGTGTGCACCCCACGGGACAATACCTGCCCACGCAGGTCAATACCCATCCTACAGGTCACTGCCCACCCTGTGGGGCGATGGCAGTACCTGCTGGCAGATGCTGGCGTAGCGGGCCAGGACGTTGGCGTTCTCCATGATGGCAAGTGCAGAGGGAGTGTGCTCGCTGATCTTCAGCACGCAGCGCCACTTCGCAAAGTCTGCCCCGTCCTTCTTGTACTGGGCACAGCGCTCCCACAGCCCATCCAGACCTGTGGGGCAGCGTGTCAGCCCCACAGCCACAAACCCCACGGCCCCAAACCCCACAGCCCCTGCTACACCTACCCTGTGTGGTGGTCTCGCCATCAGTCCCAGCCAGAGGCACAACACCCTTGTCCACCTGTGGAATGTGAAGACGGCAGTGCTGAGTCTCAACAGCACCCTCCCAGCACCCTCAGCACCCCACAAACCCAGCAGGACACCCCCCACACCTTGATGCCCACAACGATGCCCTTGTCCTTAATCATCTGGACAAATGGGGTGCCATCATCAGCCTTCTGGTACATGGTCTCGTGGAAGAAGATGACGCCCCCGATGCATTTCTTCACCCGGCTGTCGGCGCTGAAGAGGATCTGGCGGTACAGCCGGCGGTTCTCCTCCGTGTTTTCCACCCCAATCTGGTTGAGGCGCTTGGCCATGCTCCCTGCAGGCACCCAGCACCCTCGTCAGCCTTCATCCAGCTTGGGGAAAAGGTGTGGCGGGACAGATTTCCCCCCCCTACAAACTGACCTACGGACTCATCGGCTGCCAGGATGCCTTTCCCCGGGGCCACGATCCGCAGTGCGATGTCCGACAGCTCCTTCTTCTGCTCGGCCGTCAGCGCGGGGTGTTGGTGCGTCATGGTGGCGGTGGCTGCGGGCGGACGGGGACTGAGTCACGCACCACCGGGGCGACACCCCGAAAGCACACCTAGCCCCTTCCCCGGGGAGCGGGGACCCCCACGGGGCTGGCAGCCCGGCCCCACCGGGCAGGGCACGTTGTGTAAGCCTCGTGGCAGGGATCGTGGAGGATGCCGGGCAGCTCCCAGCCATTTTGGTGCCTGCCAGCCCGCCCCCAGCCCAGCCATCTTGAGGGAGCGCAGCTCCGCGGGGACCCGCGCAGGACACGAGGGGACCGGGATGGTGCTACCCTGAGGATGGGAATACCCGCGAGGAAAAGAAACAGCCCGGGGACGGGGGTACCGGGGTGGGGGGGCGGAAATACTCCGGGAACAGGGGAAATAAAAACCCCAGGGAGGCACTACCTAAGTCTGGAGTTAGCCGGGTTTTTGGGTACCCCGGAGACGGAGATACTCCATAGTCGGGAATAACCCGCGGGGAGGTTACGCGGGCGATGACGATAACACGGGGATGGGGATACCGGGGGGACGGAAATAGCCCGGGAATGGGGGACGGAGCCGCCCCAGAGCGGCACAATCCGGGGATAGAAGTACCCAAAGTTTGGGGTACTCCAAGGATGGCGACAGCCCGGGGCTAGCGCCGTCGCGGGGCCGGTGATGCCCCCGGGAGCCGGGGCGCTTGATCGTCCGGCCGGCACCGTAGAAACTCGAGCTCCGCCAGCACAGGAGGAGTATCCTGGGTCCCTCCAATCCCCCAATACCCCCATGCCCAGAGGTCTCTCTGCCCTGGAGCCCCCCGGCGCGGACCGACCCCCGGGATGCCGCCCGGAGACATCCTGGAGGCTCGGCGGGGCTGCCGGCTCCAGCCGCCGGGATTCCCCGGCTGCCCCCCCCGGGAGCTCCCCCCGGCCCCCCCCGATCCCCGGTTTCCCCGTTCCCCCGTACCGTGTAGGGCGGCGGCGACAAGCACGGACTGCGGGCTGCGCGCTCCGGCCCCACGGTAAATGTGGCTGCGGTGCCGCAGAGCTACGTGACCGGCGGGGCGGCACCGGGCAGGACCGGCCCCTCGCTCCGCCCCGGCCCGCCCCCGCCA